ACTAAATGGCAGGTAATACTATGTAAGTATTATAAGGGTAATCTCAAATGCAAGTAAGTTTTTTTTCCAGAAATTTATTTGGAAAATAAGAAATGTTTAGATATGTAATGTTAGCTCTACACAAAATTAAAATCTGATGTTAGAAGAAACATACTTATGAAAATGAAATAAAACAAAGCAGGCTGTTTTCCATCACGCCAGTAAGTTTATCACTATTACTAGCAGTATGATTAACAGTCACAAAGGATTTTCACATCATTTGTCTCACAAACACAGAGAGTGTTACAGATCCATTTTATAGATTAGGAGGCTGAAGCTCATAGGGTTAAAATATTTTGCCCAGAGTCCCATAGCTAATAAATAATCAGGGTCTCATGTTTCTATAATGGCAAAAATTTTTTAAAGGATATTCTGTTTAAACCACTTTAAAAATACATAGGAACTACTTGGCATTAAAAAAAAAAAAAACTTTAAGAATACAGAAAGAATACAGCAAGTTTTCAGGGTTTTGGGGGGAGTGGGCAGGGGAGTTAGTTGGTTTTTGTTTCTCCAAATTAAAGGCAATATCTAGAACACACTTCCTGCTTCTAAATACTGTAATAGTTTTCCCCATCTCTGTCACTCTATAATATTCTTTATTGTGCATTTCATTGTGAATGCCTATGTATGTATGAATGTATACACAGCACAACCTTTTTCAAATCATGTTAACACAATATTTTGATTCTTAAAATCAACTACTTCCTGATATCATCCAAGCAAAGATGTATGCATATTTACTGACACAAAATCTTTCAATTACTACTTTTTTTTTCAGGCAGATTCTTGCTCTGTCACCTGGGCTAGAGGGCCATGGCATCAGCCTAGCTCATAGCAACCTCAAAGTCCTGAGCTCAAACCATTCTCCTGCCTCAGCCTCCCGAGTAGCTGAGATCACAGGCGCATACCACCATGCCTAGCTAATTTTTCTCTTTTTAGTAGAGATGTGGTCTCACTCTTGCTCGTGCTGGTCTCGAACTCCTGAGTTCAAGTGATCCTCCTGCCTCGGCCTCCCAGAGTGCTAGAATTATAAGCATGAGCCACCATGCCTGGCATCAATCACTTCTTAAAACATTAGTCTCCCTCTTTCTTGAGTCATAAATTTCATAAGAATAATATACTTCCTGTAAGTCCTTTTTAACTCCTTACTATAATTTTTTCAGCACACAACAGATACCCTCTAAATGCAGAAGACAATCTCAGTCTTCTCCTTAGACCAGTTTCTCAACTAACCTTTTGGGCTAAATAATCCTTTCTTGCAGGGAGCTGTCTGTCCTCTGCATTGTAGGATATTTAGAAGGACCCCTAAGGTCTACCCAGTATATGCCAGTAACACACCTTTGCTCTCACAGTGTGACAACTAAAAACGTCTCAAACATTGCCAAATATCTTGTTGGGAGCAAAGTCACCCCTGGTTGAAAACCACTGCCTTAGACTACTCAAATACTCTTAATATGTATCAGTTTAATTTATCATTTGTTTCCAAAGAACAGTGAGATCAGCTATGTGAAACCTTTTTTTAGAGGGATCTCACTATATTGCCCAGGCTGGAGGGGAGTAGCTATTCACAGGCGCAATCATGAAGCACTACACCTTCAAACTCCTGCCTCAAGTGAAACTCCTGTCTTAGCCTTCCAAGTGGATTACAGGTATGTGCCACCACAAATGGGTAGATCTGTGAATTTTTTACAAAATGAATTCTTCCCTTTCTCAACACTTGAAAATTTGGCCGGGCGTGGTGGCTCGTGCCTGTAATCCTAGCACTCTGGGAGGCCAAGACAGGAGGATTGCTTGAGTTCAGGAGTTCAAGCAAGAACAGCCTGATGCAAAAAGGAGATCCCATCTCTACTAAAAATAGAAAAAATTAGCGATATGTGGTGGTGTACAACTGTAGTCTCATCTACTTGGGAGGCTGGGGCAGGAGCATCGCTTGAGCCCAAGAATTTGAGGTTGCTGTGAGCTAGGCTGATGCCACAGCACTCTAGCCCAGGCAACAGAGACTGTCTCAAAAATACATACATACATAAATAAATACTTGAAAATTCAACAAGACAAACTGAAAGACTAAACTCATGAAATATTTGCTAAAGCAAATAGTTTTCAAATAACATATCAAATTATCCATTCTTTGTAAAACTTGTCAACACCATGGATATCATAAATATCAGCTATCTTATTAAATTAATATTCCCATTTGTTTACCCTAAAAAGTTTAAGACAAATTTCTCCTGCAAAATTTTTGAAGGACAGAAATAATCAACTCAGATAGTTTACCTATTTTAATGGGTCATTTGGGTTATAGACAATATGTTAAGCAATAACTATAAAAGCTCATAACTTCTAGCTTTATTTATAGAAGCCACAAAAATAAAAGGCAGCAAAACTTTATAGAGGCAGAGCTATGGGCTGATAAAGCTGAGAGACTCCTGACTGGATGTTCGCTGGACACAAATTGTGAAAGAAATGGGTTTATTTGCTCAGGACTATTATAAGTTATTGTTGGTCACAGGCAGAATACCTTACTAAGAGAAAGCAGATGAAAGAAAAGAAAGTCTCCTTTTCTAGATTTCACCAAAAAAGACAAGGGGAAATGGCATAAAATTATGGCATTTTAATTTCAGCTGTGAAAAGTTTGAAATCTTCAGACAGCATACTCCTCAATGTCATAGTAATAACATTTACAATTAGAATAAATATTGGCACTGGAAAGACCCTTACATGGTACCTAGTCCAACTTCTAGTTTCAAAGATAAAGAAGAGTAAGATTTGGTGGTGAAGGAACCTTCCACTGTAGCCATACATCTTATCTCTTCAAAAACAAAATGTCTGAGGTAAATACAGCACAACATTATAACTTCCTGAAATTTGAGTAGTTACATGGGGATATTATACTACCCAATATGACTTAAACTTTTCAAAATTTAAAAATATTTTTTCTGTGAAAGTTTAAATTAAAATGAAGAAACTAGTAATATGAAGAACTACTAACAACCATTAAGATGGAGGCCCAGTAAGGTAAATGGCTTGTGCAGCACAGCACACCTTAGGCCTAGAACTCTGTGCTCTTTCAGATTTCAGATTTGCTAGTCCAGTGCTTTTTCAAATTTCAAATAATATTTGAAAACAATAAAGAATAACTGGAAATAATATTGTGAGTATTCTGAAGAATACTTGCTCTCTGCAGAAGGCACAAGACATTTAATTTCTTAAGTGTTTCTTTACTTCCCTTTTTTTGGCATTATACTTAGTGTGGTGGGGGGTATGTAAACAAAGTATGTGCTGTGGGCCCTACATATTGAAGGAGTCAACCAACTAATAAAAAATATTTGGGGAAAAAATGAAAAATAATAAAAAATAATGCAAATAAAAAATATAGCATACCAACTATTTACATAGCATTTACATAGTATTAGGTGTTATAAGTCATCTAGAGAATCTAGAGTTGACTTAAAGTATACAGGAGGATGTGCATAGGATATATACAAATACCAGGCCATTTTATATAAGGGACTTGAGCATCCTCCGATTTGGGTATCTTAAATTGGGTCCTGAAATGAATCCTGCGGGGTATACCAAGGGACCACCATATTGTTCCACAAATCACAGGGAACCAATCAGATGATCAGTAACTTATTATTAATAAAAACAGGCTCCTCTACAATTCAGGGCAACACTCACAGTTTTGTAACAGCATTGCCCAATATAAATATATGATCCACATGTGTAATCATAAATTTTAAGAGCCAGCCTTTAAAAAAGTAAAAAGAAACAGGGGAAATGAATTTTAATATAATTTAGCGCAATATATTCAGATATTATCACTTCAACACATAATCAACATAAAAAATTATTAATGAAGTATTACATTCTTATTCTCCTGCTACATTGGGAAAAATACATTCGAAACAGTATGCATTTCATACTACCGGCACGTTCAATTCCCACTAATCACATTTCAAGTGCTCAATAGCTACAGTGGCTAGTGGCTACCCTATTAGAGACTATTTGTTCCATCCATTTGAGTAGTTTTTCGGACTTCCCTGGAAAGCTGACAAAATTCCCAAATCTTCTGTAGAGTGATAAAGTACCCTCAAGGTCCCAAAAGCTCAACAAATAATTCAGGCAAATAAGCTTTTTAAAGCATGTGCAAGCATATTATTGTCTACTCCTAAATACTTAATCTCTAGGATAAAACCCTTGGCATAAATTTCTGGGCATGCAACCAAGCAGGCACCTAATTAATGACGGTGCTGGTCGAGGCTTGAATTTTTCTCTGCTGCTCCAAAACAAAAATGAAAGTCGTCTTTGTATGGGACGGAAAAGTAAACTACTAAGGGAAGAGATCATTTTCTCTGGAGCTGAAAGCATCAGGAGTTAAGAAGCCCTACGGACACGCCTTTCTTAAAGATCTCCTACCTATCCTCTCCAAACCCGGCAACCTTAAAGAGAAGGAACCCAGTTCCTAAAAAAACAAAATGATAGAGAAGATAACTGGAAAACGCAATTTCCTTTTTCTATTTCCTTGCTGCCACTTTATTTGAGCGTATATAACCAGGCAACCATGCTCGCTCCACGCAGTACCGAGGCAGAAGAGGCTTTTTTGTTTAATGCTGGGGAGCCCAAGGGGCCACACTGAGTGCCCCGGGAAGACCCCCAGAGACGGCCAGGGCCAGGGCTTCGGCCTCGGGGGCTGGAAAGGTGCGAACTTAGCGCGGGCGTGATCGCGCCGCATCTCCCCGCCCCGGGCCGGCACCCCGGCACCCCGGGGGCTCGCGGGGGGCCGGGGCGGGCACAGGCCTCGGGCACCTCGCACCTGTCGCACCGCGAGGGGGTCCCGCCGGGCGCCTGCAGGGAGGCGGAGTCCCGGGCGGCGGCGGGTCGAGCAGGGCCCGGGCGGGAGGCGTCCGCGGCGTGTGGGCCCTCAGCGCCCGCAGCCCGCCGGCCGCGCCCCTCTCGCTTACCGCCCCAGATCCCCAGCTTCAGCTGGGACTTGTCCAGGTTCTCCACATAGTCCCCCAGGAAGCGGTTCAGCAAGTCCGCGACCACCGACTCCAGCACCATGGTGGGACTGAGGCGGCTGGGAGGAGCCGGAACCGCCTGGCGCAGCTGAGGGCGGCGACCCGCGCCGCGAATGACAGCCCCTCCGGCGCCGGCCCGCCCCCGCGCCGCGCGCGTGACCCCGCCAGTGCGCAGGCGCGCCGCCACCGGGCCGGGCTGGGCCGGCGCGTGGGCTCGGCGCGGCTCGGCGTCCTGGAGGCGACTGCGGTCGCGGCCACCGGGCCAGGGGGAAGAGCAGCCGGGAAGCCGGCTCCGGGCCTACCTTGAGGTAGGGCGGCCGTGCTCGAGCGGCCCGCACGAGAAAAAAAGGACATTCTAGAAGAAAAGGGGAGAGCCGGAGTTACTGAGCACAGGGACATCTATCTACTTGGCAGCTCTGCTTCCCAGCTGTCGCCTGCTGTGGGCCTCACACCGGCAGAGCTTACCGTCAGGACGAAAGCAGCCGCGGCCCCTTTCCCGGACCCGCCTCGCGTGCGAGCCGAGCGTCTGCTACGCGACCCCCCATTCCCTGCGGATCTGGAGGGGGAAGGGAGACTCCGCACTCTTGTCCTGCAAGAGTTCGGCTCCTCCTGGGCAGGGTCTCCACTGCTTTTTGCTGCTTGAAAACACACTGATCATTTAAGTGGAGGAGGGGCAACAGAACCGCATTAAAATGGCAGATAGAATGAGAACTGAATATGCATTTTGTTGGAAACTAGTTCTTTTGCTCCCTCCTCCTAAGATTCGCTCTTAGTTAATTCACATGCCACTAATTAGTTACCTACCCCATTGCGAAAGTAAACAAACATAGTATTTCCTTTTTTTCCCTAAGTATAAGTAACCCGTTGTTTATATACCACTTAATTCCATGCTATCATTAAATTGCCTCTGATGCTTTCAACCTTGGTGCAGTTTAAGCACCCAATGAAATGCGCTTCTTTAGAGAACTGGAATTTTTTTTTTCTAAAATATATTTCAAAAGGCTGTTGAGGTTCAGGAAACAGAAGGAAACCTAACAAATGTTCAGATTATTTGTCGTCGCAAGCATTTATCAAATGCTTTGCCAGAAAGTAATCGCTAGGAGACTATTATTTTTAAACCACATAGGGTTGTGCGATTCACATATGATCGCAAACAAAAAAATCATGTATTCAAAATCTATTGAAGAAGAGAAAAAAGTCAAAATGGCTACACCTGGTGGTATGTAAAATTGAAGGTACAAAGAAAGAAGCAGTACTAACTATACTATCATTATCCACTTTCATCTTCAAGTCTTGCACAAAGAAAATAAATCCTTTACCATTTGTTTTTCCTAGCTAGTCACAGACAAAATACCTAGGAGGTACTTTAGACTTCCTCACAGGCAAGCCTATCTGTTCTGCTTTTGCCATATTTCCTAAATTCTCCTTGTATCTTCTTCCCTGGACCATGCAATCACCTTGCAACTGGCCTCCTAGCCCCCAGTTTTTCTTCCTCCAGGCTATTCTTCACACTTCACCAGAGTTAGATTCCTAAGCACAGATGAGCTTAGGTTGATCACCTGCTCAAAAACATCCAGTAACTTCCCAGTGTTTAGAACACCCTCTTCAGACTGTCCCCAAGCTCTTTCTAGTCATTCCACCTAACAATCCCTTTCCCCTTGTATACTCACACCAAGGCGAACGTAAAGAAATATGTTCTGGTTGAGATAAGGCAGGCACCATAAAAAGTTAAGAAACAAACTGCTGAAAGGATGTATGATTAACAGTGCAAGACAGTTTGAAAGACAGCAGGGGCAGTATGGCACCATCAGCCAGTGGAACTGAAGGTACAATCTTTTGGGAGAAGTAAGCAATATTAATGCCTTATATAATACAGTTAATTCTTTACAGTTCTATGGTATTTTACAATTTTGAAAGAATGTATAAATGTGCTTTTGTATGCATCATTCCATTTTATTAATATTCTGTTTCAGTTATCATGAGCTATCGCTATCATGTCATTATTATGCCAAGGTAGGTATTTTCGTGTAATCCTCACAAAAGATCCGGGAGGTAAGTAATGCTGGTAGTAGTATTGTCCCCATTTCATAGACAAATTAAGCTCAAGAATGTTCAGCGACTTACCCAAAATCACACAGCAGGTATTAATTTCCTTTGCTTCCCTGAGCACTCCATTCTAGTTGTGTTGAATGTGATGGATGTCAGAACACCAGTATTTTATTGATCTTAAACTCTTCTTGCTTTCCTTGACATCCAGCCTCCTATATAATACTTTTATATTCAGCTTCAAAGTGCTCAGTTTCCTTTTACTCTGAGAGCACCTCTGGCCTTGATGGTATGTGATCTACTCATACTTGCTTCACAGAATTGTTTTCCAGCTCCATTACTGGATGTTCCCATGGCTACATCTGTGAGCTGGGAATGAGCAGTCTTCCTTGGAGCAGGTTTGTGTGTTCCTGACCCTGTTACACCATCGTCCCGAGTACTGGGTTGCTTATGCTTCCAAGTTAAGTAAAACATAAGGCTTAATGTGGTTACAGGGGACCAACCACGCAACGGCACGTCTCTGCTGTTTTCAAGAAATCATATACAGGAAATGCTCTTAAGGTGTTACTGAACAAGGTGAATTGTTAATAGAAACAAAGCAAATCTGCTTCACTTGGCTGAGTAGAGAAATGTTTTTAAAGGAAGCCATGTGTGAATCAGCTAATCCTTGGCCAAACATTCACAATAATAATAATAATGGTAATATAATAATAACAGCTAACTCTTAGCCAGCACTGCCAAGCATTTTTTCAAGCATATCTTTTCAACCCTCACAACAATCTTATGTGGTAGATGTTATTACCTCCATTTTATAACTTGGGCTCAAACAGGTTAATTAACTTGCTTAACAACTTCTTAGCCAACATAGACTATGAGCTCTGATCTGTGCTCCTCGTTATTTTAACCAAGGGTAACCTGGGCTCTCACAGAGCTAATAGCATCTCGTCTCTTAAAAATGTTTAGTCAGAACACATGCACATGGCCTTCAAATATACAATTTGGTAATTATTCTCACATGGATTTAGGCCTGGCCCAAGAATTTTGGCCAGGAGTAGAGGTGATATCAAGACAAAGAGTAGCTAGTCAAGGGCATAGTAAACCCAGAAACCCACCAATCCTAAATACATAAATAATGTTCAGTAGTCTCTTCTTGCTCCTGCTTCACCCAGATTGAATTCAAATATTTCATCCTCATCATTTCATTCCTCTTCTGATGAGTTTACACAGCCAATATGATCTTGTACAGTCTGGATATACCTGCCTCTTATGGTGGCTGGAACCTGGGAAACATTCAGTAAATATTGCTTTGAATTAATTAATTAATAAGCACTTGCCCTCTAATAATAATAAATATTATACTAACATTGTGCATGTCAGGCTCTATGCTAACCTCCTCATATGCATTATCCTGTTTTTATACTCATAACAACCCTAAGGTTAGATACTATTACCAATTTTACATTTGATGCTGAGGCTTAGGAAGGTTAAGTAATTTGCTCAAGTTCACAGTGAGCTACCATTCTGGAATCAAAAATAGAGCTGACTTCAGACCCAATTTTCTTAACAACCTCCCTTCTATCTTTATTAACAATAATTATTATTATTAACCACCTCTATGTAGTTAGCACTCACCATGTTCCAGGCACTGTGCAAAATATTTTAAACTATTAATTCAATTCCCCAGACAACTCATTTTATACCCATTAGTAGGTATTATTTCCTCCATTTCCCATAAGGATAAGATACTTGACCTCCGAAACTCAGTTTTTCATCTGTAAAATAGGAATGATCAGAATTTGCAGGGTTTCTATAACAATTCTGGAAACTATGTAAATCATCTAGCACAGTCTGTGTCCTGGAAACAAAATGTGCATGCTCTATTCTGAAATCACCTTTTCATGAATCCAATTTAATTCATTAAACATTATTTAGTGAATAGATTAGTTTGCAAGGCAGTAGCTAGGCAGAAATCATACACCCAAGCCATGAACAAAATGCCTGAGATCTCTTTCAACCTAAGCTAAGCTGGAAGCAACTCTCTTACAAAATGAACACAGGTTAGTTTTCAAAAGGAAAGAGAAGGATCTCTCAGATGGGCCCATCCTAGAAAGGCCAGATGTAGTCAGAGTGGCTCCAAAGGATGATTCCAACAGCTCAGACATATACAAGGGTATACGTTCAAAGTCAAAAAATGGGCACACGTGGCTTAAGAAGTAGGTTGTGGTTTATTACATTGAGATATACAATAAAGTGCCCTAATCTTAAGCATAGTACACTAGGTAATTTTTTTTTTAAATAAATGCATCCACCCCTGTAATGCCACCCAAATCAAGGTATGGAACGTTTCCAGCACTTCATACGGTTTCCCCTAACCGAGAGTGGTTTATAATCAATAAAGAACATCTAAAACCAGAACTGAAAATCAGAAAGCAAGTAAAGCACTTCGAAAGGTGTGCAACAGGAGGCCGGATTTGGGGAAGCGTATTAGGTAAGAATAAGACAAACCCGACTTGTGTCTTCATTTTAATTGTGGATGTAGCATGCTTCTATGCATACACATTGATTATGTCCGTCGATCCTCACAATGACTGCGATGTAGTCAAAACTTAACCTTCTTTTGCACAAGAGGAAGCAAACTTATTCAGAGTTTCCAAGGAGAATACCAACACCTGAAGCAGGAAAGAGGGAAAAAACTGGGTCTTCCGAATTTGCTCCGCAGATCCAGCCACGTGGCAGAGGGGAAAGGGAGGGCCTGGCATCAGGTTACCAGGCAGCGCGGCTCCCGGCAGTGGGTATAAAGGCTCACACCAGCTGTCCTTGAGCCCCGGTGCTGAACCCCGCCGCGCGCGCTTTGAATTTCCCGGAGACTACGCGCCTCTCCCGGTCAGTGCTCCAGGCGGACCAGTGCGGAGACCCGTCTGACAGCGGACGTCAGGTACCTTAGGAGGGACCCACCGGCTTGCTTAATTCCCTGGGGGCCGGGCAAGGGGGGAGGGGGGTTCGTCTCAGGTTTTCCTGGAGGGGGTAATCATTATTGTCTTAATTCTCGCTGAGAACTAGAACGCAATAGCCCTGGGATTCA